AACTCCAAGCACACTTCATGCACCGAGCCCGGTGTTGTTGGTGACAACTGTTGCTCCAAGGCGGCAGCAGATGAGCGGTGCAAAGGGGGCATTGCCATGACTGGCGTGCCCCAATAAGGCCACTGTGCTGGCCACTGGCTGTGCTGCCAAGGCGGCGGCGTACATGTTGACACAGCCTCAGGTGCCCAATCGTGCCACTGAAGTCTGTGTGAGGGCCTGAACTGCCCTTCCATGCCAGAGGAATCCCCTTCTAGTGACCACAGTGGGGCCGTTGATGTCTGGAGTCTGCCTGCCAGCTGTTGCCGCCGGAGACCAATGCCCAGAGCGAGAAGATTGGTGCTGGTATCAAGGGGACCAGTGCTGGAAGGACTGGAGACATGACGAGGAGCTCTCCCATGGGGCAGGTAACCAAGATCTGTGCCAAGAGGACAACCGGTGGGAGGGCGAATGGTGCCAGTAATATGGAGACCAGCGCCTTCCTCTAAGCTATTCATGTTGAGACACCAAGGACCTCAAACGTGGTGCCGGTGACCAAGGGAGAGCCCCAGAGGATCTGGGCTGTGACTCTGGGGATCTGCAGTGGGGAGGTGGAAAGCACTATCTTGTCTCAGGGGATTGGCGGTGCTCCACTGCCCCCCGAGCGCTCTTAGGGGCTGGCTTGCCCTCATGGGGAGCCTTTGCTATTTCCTGCAGCGTCGGCACCATGGGCAGAGGCATCTGCTCTCTCGGCGCCTGGGGAGCTGGGGAAGGCATCTGTGCCATCAGCAGGTTGGGTCCCATACAGCTCCCGGGAGTTTGTGGTGGAAGTTTCAAGGGGCTAAGGGCCCTGACCAGAGAGGCATGCACACGTAGCTCCGGAGTGGCCAGTTGGTCTTTCTTGCCTGGAGCCATCCTAGTTTTCTTTTTGGGCACTGGTGACAGGAAGTGGTGATGGGTGGAGCCCAGTGCCAGGGGTGAACTGCATACCAAGGCACTAGGCGAGTATTGATGGGATGGCTTGGAAGCCGGGTGAAGGGCAGACTCCGTGAGGAGAGCCCAAAATGAATATCCCACTCTTTTTTAGTTTCTGGCCGAAAGTTTTCACAAATGCGGCACTTGTCCTTCACGAGTGATCCCCCCAAGCACTTGAGGCAGCTACTATGGGGGTCACTTAAAGGCATAGGCCTGTTACTGTCTGCGCAGGGCTTAAACCCAGGAGACCGGGGCATGCCCCGCCTCAGGCAAAGTCCCTGCTAGGACTCTAACGTCTAACTACACTTAACAACTACTATAAACAAACTATTTACAAGGCCCTAAGGCTGAAGTCAGTAGAAACAAAACTGCTAGCCCTTGCTATGCAAGAAAAGGCGCTCTGACTAAACACCATGGGCGGTGAGAAGGAACTGATATACCAACACATGAGTGTGGCATTCAAGGGGACACCACTGCTGACCCTACGGATACCACTAAGGCAAAAAACTCTGACGACCACGTACGTGGGTGCGCGCACACCTAGAATGGAATCTACATGAGCAAGCACTCGAAGAAGCAGCAGCTCTTATTCATTAATTACATGTGATGAAGTTATGATTAGGAGAAAGCCTCAATCATTTAACAGTTAAACTGAAGAAAGAAAGAAAGTATAATAAGGAAGCTCCTCATCTCCTCCTGAAAAAGGAAACACTGAGACCAAGCATTTTTGAGAGCCCTCCAACCCCCTCTCCAAGTTGTATGGCCCAGAGAAATCCCCGTATTGCCTAAGTTGTCATACAGAGAACTCGGTCTCTGAGCTGACAAATATTTTTTGTTTGGGTTTTGGGAATGGGGTGGAGGGATGATTCACTGAGATTACAAACCTGACCAATTTACTGCAGAAATGCAATGATGAAGAACAAAAACATATCCCCCTTCTGGACTACTCTCCTCTCAAAGTATTTTGGATTCAATCAGCCCTCAGGCTCGAGTACTGCAATATCAAACCTAATTAATGCTGCATAGGCTATGCAAATTGTACAGGAGAATAAAATGAAGCTGGCAGTCACTTTCCAGTGACAAGCCCTCAGAAGGCTAATTGCACACACAGAGAGTGACTGAATGTGCTTGGTGAGGTTTTTTTTTGGGGGGGGGGGGGGTTGGGGGGGCAAAAGAGAGTGGTAGCATAGATTATCTGAATTAGAGAGTGAGAAATAAATAGGATATACAATCCCATGTAAAATACTTTGCTACAAAAAGGACCTGAACCCCAAAATTGTGACCATCTGTTTCCTTTTGGAACGCATGTAGATACAAATGAACTTTGACTTCCACCATGCACAGCTAGATCTACAGATTGTAGGAAGCCTATAGTAATCCAATGTTTTAGATGGGTGAGTAGAAAAAAAAAGTGAATCGGTAAAAGCTCTCTTTTAGATTCAGAGTTTCTCAAAGAAAATTTCAGTTTGAAATCTTAAATCACTCAAAAAACTGCTTATTATCCCTTTTATTTTTTATGAACAGACAATACTGAAGCCTCACAAACAGAAAGTGGAAAGGGGAGGTGTTAAGAAAGAAGCTCTTATTCACGTATGAAGTTATGATTATGAGAAAGCCTCTATCTTTTTACAAAAAGAAAAGGAGTACTTGTGGCACCTTAGAGACTAACCAATTTATTTGAGCATAAGCTTTCGTGAGCTACAGCTCACTTCATCGGATGCATACTGTGGAAAGTGTAGAAGATCTTTTTATACACACAAAGCATGAAAAAATACCTCCTCCCACCCCACTCTCCTGCTGGTAATAGCTTATCTAAAGTGATCACTCTCTCCTTACAATGTGTATGTACGTATTTTTTTCATGCTTTGTGTGTTTAAAAAGATCTTCTACACTTTCCACAGTATGCATCCGATGAAGTGAGCTGTAGCTCACGAAAGCTTATGCTCAAATAAATTGGTTAGTCTCTAAGGTGCCACAAGTACTCCTTTTCTTTTTGCGAATACAGACTAATAAGGCTGTTACTCTGAAACCTATCGTTTTACAGTTAAACCGAAAATGAAAAAGTATAATAAGAAGGCTCCCCAGCAGTGTATAAGATGATCAGTTGGGTAACTCAAGTTTAAGATGTATATTTATACTAAGTGCCATAGTAAACTACCAAATGTATGCCTTTTGCATGCAGCTTTGCACTAACTGTACTGGGATTACGACATTGGAGGGTGGTTTTTAAAAGATTTTATTGCAACAATGGGGAATTTTGTCTAGTTAAAATACAAAACAGTAAGTATGTGCACAGGATATGCAGGAACTAGTGTAAAGTATATTATCAGAGTTCATCCTTTATACAAGACTGCTTTAGAAGTGACATGAACTGTTATGCAAAATTAAGATATAGTGGTTTGTCTTGCTCAGCCCCAATTAAAGGGTTTGCTAAACATAACCCATAAATACCTCTTTCCAATCCCTGTTTAAAAATATTGAGGACAAAACCAAAACTCTGTCAAGGTATTTTCCAGTTTTAACACTGATGTATGCACCACCTTTGATAGTTCAAAGTCACATCTTTCCTCTCTATACACTATGTTGTTACTATAGGACCCCTCCCCCTCGCTTCCACCCCGTGAGTGCCAAAGCTTGTAACATTAGTTTGAGGTACATCCCTGGCACATTTGTTTAGAAAAATAACACAAAGAATCCCGTAGACTTTGCAGATGCAATACAAGTCAAATTTAAGTAAAATGAATAAACCCATTCCCTGTGATAGAGTTTCTCTGTATCTTAAATTATATTTCTTAAATCTTAACCATCATTTCTCATTCTGAAGGTCTGGATTGTGCAACCGGCAGCTGCAAAGAACCACATTTACTTTAGTGGAGATGTGTGTGGGTGCTGGGATCAGCCCATATGGATACAGTTACACAATCACAGCTTTCTTTTGTATCCGAAGGCCCCAGGCAGCTAGGGTGAGTTCTGCTGTATATTGCAGTGCCTCCTTTTGTCCCGGTACAGACTGAAGTACCTCACAGCCCTTGTACGTGCTATTTCTGAAGGAGACAGGCTGACTACCTATTGCCAAGAGCAGTCAATGCAGTTCTACTGACTTCAGCAGACTTACACCTATTACACCACTGGTGAGTCAGGCCCACAGCACCTAATCACACAAAGCTCCTACACCATGGGACTTGTGGACGTTACAAGAACAAAGCGTTCCATAAAAGTAAATGTCAGTTTTCCAGTTCACACCCAGCCCTGTTCCAATGGAAGTCAATTGGAATGTTGTCACTTCAACGCGCTCAAGAGCAGGCTATACAGAAAATGCCTGCAAAGACTGAGAGCTTAAGTTAACTTCAACCTGATGTGTCTTGACTATAATGTTCTTTTTCTACTAGGGAGGAAAAGAAGTCTTTCATTAGGTCACTTAATTCCCCTAACAGCTATTTTAATAAAACAGGTAACATCAAAAGAACTGACATGTAGCAGTTAGCGTATGTTCCAACCCCTGTTACAGGATTACAGTTAAAAACATGTTAACTATTTTCTCCCTCCAACTTCCTGTTAAAACACTATGGGCCAAATTTTCAAAGGTAACACGTACATTTGAGCACAACAATTTTAATAGTCAACGCCCCCCCCCCCATGCTACCTCCCCAATTTACAAACAAGGATTCAGGGGGAAACAGGCCTGTTGTGTTGCCCATATGCAAAATGTCAGCTTCCAGGTCAAGGCCCCTTTGGAAGGGGGAAGGGAACACTCACAACCACACATAATCTTTCTCCTTTGTTGTTAGCCACTTCAGGTGAAATCCTGACCCTGCTGAAGTCACTCAATGTCTTGCCATTCAGTTCAAATGGGATCGAGGATTTTGAGTACTAGTTACTCTAATCAGAATTGAGAGTCACTATTATTCCTGTGCTGAGTGAAAACTACGCATAAGCACAAATAAAACTGGGCACTGTCAGATCCTCCATGGCACAACAGAATAGTTCACGTAACAGGTGAAAACTTTCATTAGCCTTCAGTACAGTATTAGGGGAAAAAACTAATCTACCTCTTTTTTGCTCTCCTTGTTTTGTTCAACTTCAATATCAACAGGGTTAGTTCCATTTGTTTCCTCCATTTCATCCTCACTGAAAGACAAAAGCAAGGCACGACCATATTACAATGAGAATTTCTATTTCTCTACAATAGTCTGCTGAAAGTCAGGCATGGATGGAGCATTCAATCCCACAGCTTTTCTTTTTGGTGAATTTTAAAGTCAATTACCGCTTTAAAATAACCACATTAAGGACCATTCATTTAAAAGCTTTTACATAAACTCTTCTGTGGTATATCTGGGCAAAATTTGAAAATGAAGTCTGTTCACACTCAAAGGCAAAAATAAAATTAAAAAACAAGTCAGGAATTCTCTAACTGTTAGAGTCAAAGAGAACTAGCTGAATATTTTTTAACTTCAAGCAAACTCAGACAAACAACGATATAGAATTAGAGCAAACAGCTTTAACGTGGATTTCATACATTAAATTAAAAATTGTAAACGTAACAAAAAGCCACATGTACAATTAGTTCTCCCAGGGATTTAAAACAAACAAACAAACCCCACACGTATGTTTAGCACTCCCATAATCTCATCTTTAATTCCTTGGGGGGGGGGGGGTGAGCGGAGGGGAGAAAGCATATTCTAACAATTACGGAATAATAATAATAAGCAGCATCAAATTGGGGCCATACTGAATCTGACCTTGGAACACCTAGCCAGTTTAATTGTACTGGAATTCTAATTTAGTGTTTGACTACCATTCACATTAAGGTATACTTCCACGTATGGTTTAGAATTAGTGTACCGTACATTGCTGAAGTTAATTGCTCTACTTTCTATGATGTTCCCAGAGTGCAAGGATAATCTTATCTGGGTTATGTTTATTTTAAAAAGGACACATGCAGGTTTCACTGGTCCCATGAAATCCAGCAACCCATTAAGTTAGCCAAGTTGTAGAAGTCAGCATTATATTCTACATACCCTCTTAAAATTCCAGAGTACACTGTCTGCATTTACTCACCATTTAGGTTTCAGTTTTTATTTGCTTTATTATTTTAAATTATAAACCAAGTGAAGAGTATGAACAAGACACATGCACCTGCTCAGTCACTGAGGGACACATTTTAAGGTGGTGTTAACGGTCTTTCATTTGCAGTCACTTATGCAAACCCTGCATGTTTTCCTGTACAAAACTGATTCCCAAGCTAGTCTGTTCATGCAAATTCTGTCACTTCTGGGCACAGAAGACTGAATGTACAGAGTCCCATGCACACAAGTAAGAGAACAGGTTTTGAAAACCGAGTCCCAAGTTTGTCTGAGGTTATTTTAAAAGTGATTTTAGTGCTGCTGAAAGGTGTCTTGGGAATTCCTCTGTTTAGTCACAGAACACATTCAATGGCAGGGCAAGATTCCGCTCACTGCCCCTTTAATTAGCCTTAACTCTAAAGGGCAAGAGTGCAATTTTACCTCCACACAGATTCAGTCCTTGGTGTCTGCTGAGACCAACACCAAAAGGTGCCAACTGTGCTGGAAATGTGTGTCTAGAGGGTCACATAAACCACTACAAACTAGATTGAGACCACTAAACTTAACCCATTTTGCAGAGGTTTATTACAGTCATTACTTAACCTAAGCACAATTTAATCCACAAGTGAACAGGCCTGGAACACAAACTAGCTGTAGAATTCACACATTCTAGTCTCAAGCTCAAATGACAGCACAGCTCTTTTATCTCCCCCACAAAGCAGGGACACAAGTTCCATAATTTTTCCCTGCATTTTTTCTACTTAGTTAAACATCAAATAGCCAAGTTAAAAACCTGCCAATCATTCTTTAGCTTGCTAAATATGGAAAGCAAACACTATGGCTTGGTCGACACCTAAAACTTACGTCAAAGTAGCTACGTTGGTCGGGGTGTGAATAAGTTACGTTCCTGACCCATGTATCTTTGCCAGCCTATCCTTTGGTGTAGATGTAGCTAAATCAAAGGAGAAATGCTTCCATCAACATAGCTTCTGTCATTCAGGGTGTTGGTTTTCCTACTTTGATGGAAAAAAACAACCTTCCACCAGCTTAGACATAGCTAACCTGGTGTAGTTTCCATAGTGTAGACATACTCTAAGTATCTCTGCTCCTGTTGCTTCTCTCAAAGGCTTTGAAATTCAGAAATGGAGCAGCCCATCCATTCACTCTCCATGAAGTTTATAGCACCTTAGATACACCATCTATAAAAGTCTTTATAGTAAAGATATTTCCTGGTGGCAGTAATTTCAGTGCAGTTTACAAGTATAGAACAAAAATGCCAGATGCAGCCTTTTTGAATACTAAACTATATAGTGTGAACTACAAACAAGTGCTCCTTTTAGGAAACAATTATTTTTCCACTGAATAAAGTTAATAAATAAAACCAGAAATAACAGTATGAAAGGGAGGCACGGATAAAGGAAAGCCAACCAAAGTCAACTAAGTAAGGGATTAGTTGGATGGTGGCGTTCTCCTTTGAGCCCACTCTCTTCCTTCCAATTAAGCAGATGTGGTGGATCCAGCTGCGAGATGAAGACAGTCTTGCTGGCTCATTGTTGCAGTGTGGTTCAATAAACTCCATCATGGGAATGACCCTCTTCCTATAGGGATCTCCTTTTTGAGGCACAAAAGCTAGGGTCTGGGCTAAGCAGTCATGAAATAGGAGCCGTATGATGGAAGACATGTGCAGAGCATTGCCAGCTGGTGACAGGTATCTACTTTCCTCGGATGTGGCTCTAAGAGAAGTTCTAAGTCTACAAATGTCTAGATTGAGTTTTAAAGCAGGTTGGGAAGAGTACCTGTTCACAAGGACAAGAAACATCTGGAGCATGGCAAAAGCACCACTGCTACATAGAGAAAGGAAAGACAAGGAGGATGAGGACGCAGAGAACCTTTGCAGACGGTTAAACCCCTCAATGTGCCAAGGAGCCATGGCCCACCGAGGCCCCAACTGCTCTAGGTTCGAGTGGGGATATCCAGAGAAAGAGGATCTCTATCTCCAGGAAGCTTCTGTGTAGCTAAACACATGAACTATCAGCCAAACCTTCCTGAAGGGTGCTGCAGTGTGTGGTAGGCACGGCAGCCATGGAGACTGCTGAGGCCTGAGGCTGAAGTAGTGGGAACAAAGAATCTGTTGAAGCTCAGTGGCTTAGGGGAGGGTACAGAATTTCATCCACCACAGCTAGTGTGAGCTCTTCTCTCTCCTCCTCTTCCCATCATAAAGCCAGTCTACTCGACCATTGCTCTGGGTAGAGAATTTGGCCCTGAAAGCATTTTTCTGGTAGCAGCTTTCTGCTGGGACAAGTGTGTAGATAAAATGGAGAGGGGACTGCCAAACATTGACATTCTTCCACTTAGTGCATGCTCCCATTCTACGGAATGTTACATTTAAGGCTAAAAACCTGCCCTTGAATTACCATTGTGATCTCCCTTTACAGGGACTCGAGAGTTGCATGTGAATCAGATGGTAGAATTTGGTCATGAATGTTTACATGGACACAGATTTTGGTTATAAAAAGAGAGAGAAAGAGGCACCAGGAAGTGTCTGGGGGAAAAAATCCTAGTTCTAGTTCTTCACAGGCTACCAGAAATTCCAGGATCATCATAAAAAGATTTATGAGTGGCAAGACACAGTCTCTCTCACTGCAAACGTACCTTTCTTCCCGTTCCCTTTTTTGTTTACGAGCATGGCGGTCCATCACGCTGGTTTTAGTCCTTGTCTTTTTCCAGGAATAGTAAAATTTCACCAAACTGGCTATCGATTTGTCAGGAAGCTGAAAATAAAATGGTTACACTTTTTAGAAGTCTTCACAGGTTTACATGTACAGCACTACCTGGCTTTCACATCACATGGGCCATACTAGGGTAAATACTATGACAGCCAGCAGGAAAGTCATAACCAGCATCATAGGGTAGCCATATATATTCAATTAACAAAAGAGGTTTTAAAAGGATGCAATATTGGTTCTTTCTACAACCTTTGATAAGCGTGTAGCAGGTTGTAATATTTTCATTCTCATTGTCTTGTATGTCTACATGATAAGCCTGCCTTCCATCAAGCAACCAAACCTGTATTAAGGTAGCTGACTAATTTGAGTTCTGCAGGCTGCCCTAGAAGAGACCTGCATCACTCTTGCCCCTCACCTCACCCCACGCAGAGTGATGCGGAGTGCAACAATAACTTTAAAGGCCTGATCCAAGTTCCATTAAAAATCAGGGAGCTATAGGTGGAAGTCAGGTCCCTCTTACTTAAGGATCAAAATTTCAAAAGTTTTGGCTTTCGATACTTGTGATTATCAGTGGCAGATTCAGTGTACGCTGAGGGCAGTAAATAGCCCCAAAACTATAAATTTGGTCCATAGACTGTAACTAATTTGTCCCTCTCCACGGAATGAGTTTCACACCTCTGCTGTAAAATGTGCAATTTTAATAGCGGTCAGCACCCACGTACAATGCAGTTTATTTCCAGCTACCAGCACAGGCTTCTTCAGTGCAAATTCACAGATGAGGCTACTAACAATGCAGCTAATTTAGCTGGTTCGGAATAGACCGCTCAGAACACTTGCGCTTACCCTTTGCTGTACAACCAGTACTTAGAATTATAGTGTACTTTTCATATAAACGACTGTCAGAGTGTTTGCCCAGAACACTCAGTACCACAGGATGCTACATTCATATCAAGAGTTGCTCAAAAAAAATGTCCTGTAATTCATTATTGAGAAACAGTATAAGAGTCTGGCATTAATGCACTGTAATGCATGTTCACAGTAATGCACGTTCACCACAGGAATCCTGTTCATATACTTGAGGAGCTTTTAAGGGAGGACACGACCAGGACCTAGACAAGCCTTACAAAGGTGCGTTGCAGCCCTCCTTACCCTTTGGAACAGTCAGATCACTTTTTACTATTCTGCAAAGTCAGATACGCATGGAGCACTGCTAGAGTAACCAGATAGCAAGTGTGGGGGGGGAGAAAAAAAAAGGGGGATTATTTTTCCAGGTGGGGGATGGGCAGAGTTAATATCTGTGTATATAATACAAAGTTCCTAATAGAAGGATGTCTGGTCACCCTCAGAACTGCAGCCTTCCTTAGCTGCACACTTTACGAGTGGATCAAAAGCCTTGTGCAAAGTATACTGCATATGCTAGTTTTCAAAGGGTCAGAACTGTCCAATCAAAGCCAGAGCTTCACTGGAACAGTCAAAGGGATTTTTACTTGAGGGATGAGTTTTCAACTTTAAAACGTTCAACTTTCAACTTCCCATCCCAGCTGAAAAGCTGTTTAAAACTTTGATTTCACTCCTGCTCCCCATCCCTTCCAAAATGGCTGAAGTTGTTGGTTTTGTGTTTTTGCTGAAAATTTCCTCTCCCAAAAAAGTTCACTTGCAGGCAGATTCCAAGCCGAGAAAATTTCAGCTCCGAAGGTAAAGTTTCATAAAGATTGAGTGATTGAAAGCAGGGAATTAAATCTACAATCCTCATCTACACAAGCATTGACGCTGTCATATTATACTTAATAGGCACTTATCACCAATGTAAAATGCGTAAAACTCCTAAAAAAACAATGTTAAAAGAAAGAAAAGCAGATTAAATAAAGCTCTTTGGGGAAAGGACTGTTTTTTATTAGGTATGTGTACCACTCATTGCACAATGGGTCCCTAAACCCTGATTTAAGCCTCTAAATACTACTGCAATACAATAAAAGGAAGAGTGGCCCCATGAGTGACAAATCAAAAGCACTACCAATTCTATAGTCAGAACTGTCTCTCAACATTGTAAGAGTCAGATTCTACTTCTAGAAAACTTTTTCTTTGCAGGACATGCGGATTCTGTGTCTGCTGCTAGAGGAATGTGAGGTGATAAAAGTAATAGTCCCTCCCCCATCCCAAAACAGTATAGTCCTCTGAATGACAATGCCAGAGTCAAGCTTTTCCCCAAAACCCCACCCCCACACCAGACAGTCTTCAAAAAGAGCAGTTACATGATTGCTAACAATCCTGTAGCGGACAAGGTGACCTCAACAGTTTTTTCCAGGTCTAATTATTATGATCCTACTTACCATCTGCTGAATTCTATGAAATGTTTTCCCATGGAAACTAAAGGCCTGTTCGAACAAGACCTTGTCTTCCACTGTCCACTCATCTGGGAATGGAGTAAAGTTGGGCAAATCCGCCAAGGATTTCTCAATATTATGCTTGTGCCAAAAGAGCATTCCAAGGGCCTGAAAGAAACATGGACACAAGAGAAACTGAGTTACAATGTGGGGGAGAGGCGGGGGGGGGGGGGGAGTAGAGAGGGAATTTACAGTCCTCACACTGATACATGTAATAGGGCAACACAAAAAAAGTTACAAAAGGGCCATGACTCTGACCTCAGATACACGTGTGTGAGGCTGCAGAAGCTTAAGTGACAGCAAGAACCTGGAATCTGATCCATCACCACTCTGGACCGTGGAGCATCAGAATCTGGCCCATATTGCGTAAGCAGCAAAATGAAAGAGTTCTACTGCTGAAAGGCCGCTCGAGATTGCCGCAGGAAAAGGCAAGTGGGGTGGACATTTTTGCTAGTTTAAAAAATAAAAATGGGCTTCCAGCAAAAAATGGCGCGCACAGAGAATTTAGCCAAGGACAAAGTAAAGAGCTAGAAAAGTGTGTGTAAAGCAGAGATTAAAACTAAACTACAGGCAGAGTTAGCCAGTGTTCAAGTCTTGATACCTGTCTATTTGATTGGGTGTTTTTGTGCTCTTTTTTGGAGGAGGGAGGGGACAGTCTTATTTATTGTTTGGGCACCCCCTGACAAAGCAGGGGCATAGCTCACTATCATTTGGAAGGGGGGGGACTATCATTTATTCCCTCTAACTTCATCTCCTTCAGTTGCAACTCTGAGTCTCCAGTTCAGAAAACTGAATTACACACACAGTACGCCCCGGCACGAATGAATGCTTGCCCTAGTGAGCCCTCTAAGAGGGGTTCACTCAAAATGTACCACCCTCCGGAGGTGGATGGCAAAAGGGCATTCTGATCTTCCACTCTGATGGAGTGATTATTTTTGGTGCAATTAGCCTCCCCAGAGTCATTTCAGAAGGGCCTGACCCTAACATGCTACAAATATTTAAAATAAAATGTTTCAACTTGTTTCAGAACTGCTGTTAAGTGAAAACGATCCCCGATCCGCTGACTAAAATATTACCTGTCTGACATATGCAAAGTTGACTCTGGTTCTGCCACCATAATTCTCCCCATCTAGTAGTTTCACCCAGTCCATTCAGACTGACAGTGCTACCTTTGAAACTGGGGTTTCCCCATCCCACTTTGCTATGCAAAAAAACAGTTCCTTTCTGGGCACAAAGTTCTCGCTCCAGTAGATTCTGCAACTATATGACTAAATGCTTGCCTCACCCCAGATCTCTTCCTCATGAAACTAGACTCTCCCTGCTAAATATCTAGATTTCTTCCCCTTCATTATGATACAGAACCAGAAGAGTCGTAACACGCCACGGTTTTGAAGATGTCACGTGAATTAAAAAAATTACGACTAGGCAGTTGGGAGGGGAGAGCTTAACTAGCTAGTATAGAGGCACATGGAAGATTTTACAAGCGTTACAGTTTCTTTTTTTTTAATATCAGACTCAGTCTCACCTGGGCACCTCCCCAAATATCCCTGTGTGAAGCAACATAACCTGGACATTAGTACAGAAATACATTACACAAAGAGGAGATCTGCTGAAAGGGAAAAAGTGGTAAATGTTCTTAAAGAGGAGAAGTTGGCCCAGACAACCTCTGACAAAGGGCATGGAACACCAGTGTGAATTTTTTTTTTTAATAGGTCAGGCTCTGAACACTTATAATATTTTTTTAAACAGACATTATTTCTAGAAGGAAGACATTTTACATATAAGCTGCTTTTACACCACTAGCAATAGTGCCCACAGATATTTACCAATTCAAAGTTCTTCTACCCACCCTCCTCCCTAGGAAACAACTCTACTTGCCCCCCCACACACATGTATCCATTTAGCTGTGGACACAGAACCCAGCTACAAGTGAGGGAGAGGGCTAGAGCAGACAAGTTGCATACAGAACAAATGCAGCCAGCTGGACATGAAGCCCAGCAGACAGCTGAGCTTTCAGCAAGAGTCCCATTCACCCTTCCAGAGAAACCTGCTCCCTACTACTCCATCAACACGCTGGCACCTGTGTCTCTACAAGTGATGGAGGGCAGGATCCTCAAGGGAATTGCTATCTCCTCCTCTGCTGCCCTGTGCCTGGGAGGGAGCAAGCTTTGCAAGGTCATTGCCTCTTTGGCTCACCCCACACTTGGGATCTTCTAGGCTGCCACCTGCTATAGTGTCCTGAGCCCTCGAGGAGTGGCTCCCAGCAGTGTGTGCACGCGCACACACACGGTCAAATGCTTGCCACCACCTAATAAGCTCAGAGCCAGAGGCAAAAGTCCTAAAGCAGGTTGTCTAGGCTTGAATGGTTCCCTCAAATTCTCACTCTTCCCCTTCAAAGGATCTCATGTCTAACATCAATCTGAAAGGGGAAGTGTCCATGGTTTTGCAATTTTTTCCTGGGAAAGGCCAATTTCAAAAATAGAATTTCTAAAACATTGGATCAGTAGGACTATTTGCATAAAATAACCATCCTGGAAGGACATTCTGTGTATTTCCTAGCAGTGCTTGGTTTTCAAATTCGAGGACCACCTAAGTCTTTGGGGCATATGCTGTCCTGCAAAGGAAGAACAGTGGAAGGTTCTCTTCCATTTTTACCACCCCAGGACAATTCATTATGAAGAAACAGGAACATAGGATTCAGAGGGTAGCCGTGTTAGTCTGTAACAGCAAAAATAATGAGGAGTCCTTGCGGCACTTTAGAGACTAACAAATTTATTTGGGCATAAGCTTTTGTGGGCTAAAACCCACTTCATCAGATGCATGGAGTGGAACATACAGCAGGGAGGTATAAATACACAGCATATAAAAAGACGGGAGTTGCTTTATCAAGTGGGAGTCAGTGCTAACGAGCCAATTCAATTTAAGTTGGAAGTAGGCAATTCTCAACAGTTGACAAGGAGGAGTGGAAATCACATCTGTAGTGTTAACAAGGCCAATGTAAACAAGGTGGCCCATTTGAAACAGTTGACAAGAAGGTGTGAGTATTTAGCAACGTGAAATTAGTTTTTGTAAAAACAAGGAGGGGTACTTGTGGCACCTTAGAGACTAACAAATTGATTTAGTTTCTGTAGTGACCCATCCACTCCCAGTCTCTGTTCAGGCCTAATTTGATGGTGTCCAGTTTGCAAATTAATTTCAGTTCTGCAGTTTCTCGTTTAAGTCTATTAATTGCCATACTGGATCAGACTCAAGATCCCCCTACTCTAGCATTCTGTTTCTGATAGTGGCCAGTACCAGATACTTCAGAGAAAGGGGTAAGAACCCCACTGTAGGCAGATGTGGGATAATCTACCCCTCCCAGTGAGAGATCAGAATGAGACCTAAGGACCAAGAAGAAATGGCTGGGAACAGGACAAATTCATTTAGTAGGATAATGGGAAGGCAACTGGACAGAGTCCATCAGCTCATTTCACAGATCACTGTAAACCTGACAGCAAATGCTCAATTGCCACCAGCCTGGCTGATCATAGGCTCAAATTATGACAAGTGAACAGTGGGACAACACTGAGAGCTTAGAAAGTGCCAGATGGTACTGATCATTCAAGCACATAGTTACATAGCTCAGTGAGTCGACATGCCACAATCCAGAGAGCCCAGTAGCACAAACACATACTTTTCTCCTTCCTCCCTCCCCTTAACCAGACGTTCCCATCCCACTCTCCCTTCTGGTCACAGCATCACAGCCACAAAAATCCTTCTGTTCAAGGAGAAGACATGTTTTCAAACTTTCGACGTTGCGAGAGTTGTCTAAAAACAAAAGTGTGTCTTCAGTGTTTAAAGCTTCAGACCTGGCACCTGGCTGCACCTCAGTTTTATAAGAGTTTTAATTTTAAACAAAGTCTGATCAGTTTTCACTTTCCAGAAACATTCACCTTTCGACTAAAATCGAATAGAAGGTCACTCAAATATGTAGGGCTTAGTTTTTTGAGGAAAAAGAACAGGAGGACTTGTGGCACCTTAGAGACTAACCAATTTATTTGAGCATAAGCTTTCGTGAGCTACAGCTCACTTCATCGGATGCAACGAAAGCTTATGCTCAAATAAATTTGTTAGTCTCTACGGCGCCACAAGTACTCCTTTTCTCTTTGCGGATACAGACTAACACGACTGCTACTCTGAAACCTTTTTTGAGGAAGTTATTCATGACTTCACATATTAGAACAAACACACCTATCTCAACCTTAAAGGTTATCTATGTTTAAAAAAAAAAAAAAGAGGCAAGAATTAGGCTTGTGGCTATTCACTGCTTTAAGGGTTTTTATTATTAATTATTATTATTTTTGGTCCTAGAAATATCATGAATGTTATTTCTGATCTTCTCTGGTTTTGCTGGAGCATCTGATGGACAGCTCAGAGCACATGTATTTGTATGGTTTCTCACACCTTAACAGCAGGGACGCTGAAAAAGACAGTTACCTGTTCCGTAACTGGTGTTCTTTGAGATGTGTTGCTCATGTCTATTCCACAGTAGGTGTGCGTATGCACCATGTGCACCGTGCCGGAAGTTTTTCCCTTAGCAGTACCCCGGGGGGGGGGGGGGAAGCACTGCTGCAACCCCTGGAGTTGCACCTCTATATCGTGCTATAAGGGAGGCCACGAGCTCCTCCCACCCTTGGTTCCTTCTTGCCAGACAACTCTGACAGAGGGAAGAAGGGTGGGATGTGGAATAGACATGAGCAACACATCTCGAAGGAACAGATAACTGTCTTTTCTTCTTTGAGTGATTGCTCATGTGTATTCTACAGTAGATGATTCCAAGCTATATCTGTGGGTAGGAGTTCACTAGTTCCTGGGACGCAGTACTGCTCTGCCGAACCCAGCATCATCCCTAGTCTGGGAGACGATCACATTATGCGTAGTGAACGTGTGAACTGAAGACCAGATGGCAGCCCTACAGATGTCCTGGATAGGGACATGGGCTACATAGGCAGCCGACGAGGCCTGAGCCCTCATTGAGTGCACCCTGACGATTGGTGGCGGGGGAACCCCTGCCAGATCATAGCACGTGCGTCTGCACACGGTGATCCAGTGAGAAAGGCGCTGGGTGG